GAGAACCGAAATTGGGAGAAATGGAGTGTCAGGTTCAGGTTTGCAGGGGGAATTGATGGCAGCGAGTGCACATGGTTGTTGGCTTTGCTAATAGATGGAAATGTACTCTAACATGCATCTGTGGCTGGAGGCGCAAATAATAAACAGGCTCTCTGGCCTTGGGCCGTATTCGAGCATGAAAAATGGCTGTAACTCTTCTCAGAGAGGAAGCTGACTCTTTAATTGTCTGGTATTTTGTGCATCCGAGGCAGTGATTTAAGTTTCCTGTTTCTTCCAATATTTATGCTCAATGTACGTCTATAGAATCTTCAAACCTGATACTGGTATTTATGCGTAGACCAGGAAAACAACAGTGTTTGTTCAAATGTTGTCAACACAAGTTGATGTTTGTTCAGCGTCAACTTGTGTAGATGTTTACTGGACAAGACGGTGGAAGTTATGAGCGTCTCTAACTGAAGCAAAGGTGGAAATACTGACTTTGCCACAGTGCCAGAAAACGTCTTACCTCTCATCACCATGGCTCCTTCAAACTGCTGTCATTGTTCAAACACCTCTAAACATTTCCAAACAGATTCCTATTGGCTGCAGGATGCTGTCTCACCTTTATCTTCTATCTGTTAGGCCTGAACAATTAACGGCTTATTATCGAAATGGCAATGTGGCCACATGCAATATTCAAACGGCAGGAGGTGCAATTTTCTTTTCTTTTTTTTCTTTTGATGAAGGTAGAATGTGTCACAACAAACCATACATGAAGCGTTAATGAATCATATTCTCCAGATGTAAAGAAACATCTTGGTTTGTTAGATGACCCAAAAAAAAAATCGTTTTCGTATTTTCACTGGAAATTAAATTCAAAAATGGCCGTTCCAACTGAAACCATGACTCGTATCACAATCGCACCATCTGCCAAAATAATCGCATTATGATTTTTCATCTGTACTTCCTGAATATTAGAAGAAAAACTTCAGAACTTTTTTTCTTCTTGCTTCACGGTCTTTGAAGGAGAAGCGACTCAAACAAACAAGAAAAACAAATGACCAAATCACTAGATGAAGAGTTCCCTCTTCACAGGCGCAGAACACCTGGCCTATGAAGATAGTGTGTGAAAAAAGCCGAGGTTGTGCTGCATGAGATGCTGAACTTATGCGCCCGGCGGACATTTGCACACCGGATAATTTGGCTTTGGTTCATCTCAAGCAGTGTTGGAGGAACAGGAATGTGACAGCGCCAGGTGTGGTGGACATGCTGGTTAGGTAAAGAGGTAGAGGTCAACATAGTTGTGACTGTTGTTTGTTTCCCATTTCCTGCCAACAGTCAGTACTGGTTTCCTTTAATCATGACCACAGTCTTTCATACCCTGAAGCAAATAGTTTGACATTTTGGTAAATACTTTTTCTTTTCTTTTTTTTTATTTGATGTTTTTCTTCTTTTTCTCTCAACGCAACTTTTTAAACTTCACTTTATATTTTCATGAGTCCAGGTCAACAGACGTCTGACTGCCACAGTGAGTGAACCCTGTGCTCTGAGCTGCTCTTCTACATTAAACATGAATAATTAGACAGCAAATGAGGGCTTATCATGAGGGTATATCAAGGTGGAATAAGTGACAACATTATTTTCTCTCTTTATCTCTTAGCTTTCTTTATGTTCGATTTGTTGTGAACATTTTTGAGTGATAAATAAACACTGCATGCTGGCCACACATTATGCAGCTCTTATTCATTCTGTTGATGGCAGTCAGGCCATTCAGGGCTCGGTACAGAGGGAAGGTATTTGAGGGAGAGGATGTTGAGGCAGAATTGGTATTCTCACAGGCTCTGTGTGAGTGTGGCTTTGTTCCAAAGTGGTGTGAAGAAGAAGAGATGGACAGGGAGAGGGGGAAGGGAGAGGCGGGGGGCACTTTCTGGTGAAGGTCAGCGGGTTAAGCCGATGGGGATCCTTGGAGACGGGGCCCTGCCGAAAAGATGGTAATGCCCCAAGCCATGATTCATCGCAAAGGCATCCATCACTGCGTGTGTGTGTGTGTTGTGTGTGTGTGTGTGATCGTGCGTGTGTGTGTGTGTTTACAATGACGTCATAACATCAGTCCCCAGGCTGTCAGGGGCTGACGGGCAGGGGCTGTGGAGGAGCAGTGTTTTCATTTCAACAGGCGAAGTGATGGACTGCCGCAGAGGGGGCGGGGCTGCTCTCTGAATGGCAGGTGCCACACTGTTCACTGTGCTCATGGGAAGTGGTTTTGAGGTAGCTATTGTCTGCGTACTGTTTGTCGGCAGCGTGAGCTGCGTGACTAGACAGCCGAATTCCTGCAGAGCACATTAGCGACTTCAGTTTTTTTTGTTTTGTTTTTTTTTCTAATTCTTCGACTACTTTGTGTTCAGTGACTGAAGCTCAAGTTTCATTTTAATTACAGTTTACTTTATATAGCTGTCCCCTGCTGCTGTCTCTCTCTCCAGGGCAGTCTGAAGCAGGTTAATTGAAGGGAGCTGCTGTGGGAGACCGGGAGATGAGCTGTAACTATCAATATGGGCCAGAGCCCACTTACTGGTTCTCTACCAGCTGCAGCAGCTAAACATAGCTTTATAACGCTAATGAATCTGTCTCAATCTCCACCTCTAACCTGTGCTTACATATGGTCGTAAAGTGCAGAGGTTTTTATGTGTAGTTTAGCCTGGATGAAGTTTCTCTCATCAATATTTTTCCATGAATTATGGATCAAATGACTAGAACTCACAGAATTATCAGTGGACTCTGCAGCTCCGTTCACCTCTGTGGAGTGTCACAGCCACAGCTTTACTGTTCTGCATCACTCTCACCGCTCTCGTTAACTTCATGTCTAGCTGCAGCAACAAAGTTAGCAAACACCTTGTAAACATAGTGAAGCATCCAACAGCTAGAGAACCAGATATTTTTTGAGTTAGTAGAGACAAAGACCGAGCTGGAAGACTCACGTGTACATGAATGAAAATAAAATGAATTATATAATAATTTGATAATAAGTAAAATAAAATATTAAAATGATAATGGTAAAATGCAGATTTAAAGATGCATTAAATGATTTGTTTTGCCACCAGGGGGCAGAAGAACACACAGTCATAAAGTCTCCTTTTAGCTCATGTTTGGTCTCCACCACCTCCTGACAAAAATCTTCTGGTTCTTTTAGCTGCTAAATGTTTCACTTTCTTCAACAGCTAGCTGCTAACTTTGTCTGTGCTCGGCAGGCAGTGAACAGTGGCTGGTGTGTTTGCTGATTAGTGGAGCTTTAAGCTGCATCTCAAACAATCAAACATGGCATCAGAAATGTGGAAGAATTACTTGTTGTGCAGTGTTTTGGCAGCACAAACAGTTCTGGCAGTGCAATCAATCAAAAAAACAATCACACAGTCATTTATTTTCTATGAATATAAGCTTAGTTTAAAAGCATTAAAAGAACTCCCAACACAATGTGCAGATGTTTGACGAGCTCATTAGGCTGTGGATGGATAGTACTGTACAGTCTGGTGTTTTCGCTCGTTAGCATGAATTTATGCAGAGGCTAATCATCCAAAATCATAAACTTCCACTCCTGCAAGTGTAGTTGAAATACTCCATGACCTGTGAAATAAGAGATTTTCACACTTGGAGAATTTAAACGCAGCATATTGTCTCCAGAAAGACTTTGGCAGTTCTCTTAAGTTCTCATTAAACATGCTTATAATGTTTTATTTCCATTTAAATTCCTAAAGAGCTACATTTTCTACACGGAGCATCTAAAAAAAAAAAAGTGATTAATTCAAAACTATATTTTCCCAGCAGAATCCCTCACTGAGTCTTGGGGCTATACAGTTTTTAGTCCCTTCCGCTGAGCTTTAATTAAAGCAAAATGAGGATCCAAAAAGCGTGAGTGTTGTCACCGCAGGACAAATTCACACCTAAAAAAAAAAAACAGAATTATCCGAGACTGCATATAGGTGTTTAAGATGAGCTACATGACGGATCAGTATTTTTTTACTCTATAGTTTATGGTTTGTTTGAGTCCTCTTTTTGGCTCCTGGAATACTGACCCAGTTTGGAGCTGCTTGGCCTCAGTTGGCAGGCTTCACTCAGTGTGGGGTCACAACTTTGTCCCACTGGCCGATTGTCCTGGGAGGGTGATTGTCTGCGGTGGGTTGTCTTGTGCATGACAATAATCCCTTTGGGAGAGGAGAGAATGAAATGAACACAAACAACAGTAGGATGTAGAATTAGATAAAGTGATGTTACATAATGGCAGACGTTTTAACTGTTAGATATTGAGGCAACCTTCCTACTCGGGCAGTGAGATCAGAGAAGAGGAGGGGAGGATAGTAAAGGAGGAGAGGATAGTAAAATGAGGCTAGTGACACACAAGAGGAAGAGGAGGGGGCGGGGGGGCAGGGGGTCCCCTGGCACCTTGCACACATACAGTTTGTGCCAAGAGAGGGACATCTCTCAATCCTCTTAACAAGAGCCAGTGCGTCTCTGTCGGCCAAGCAGCATGTGTATGCACATGCATTAATGTGTTTGCAGTGCAGTTGTGCAGTGCTGCTGCCTGCATCCATAATAAAGCCCAATGACAAAACCCTCAACAGGAATATAATTGGGCAGTACAAGTGAAAAGGGGGGGGGGGGCATTGGAGCGGAGGCGAGTGCTGCAAACTTTCAGAGAGAGAGAGAGAGATAGAGAGGGGATGAAAGAAGCAGAAGATGGAGAGAAAGCCATTTACATGCTAATACTGCCCTTAGCCCTTCAACTGCCTCGTTGGGTACCTTGCCCGCTACTCTCGAATAAGCTCTTGGCTGACGAGCCGGTCGCCATGTTTACACAATAAACAAACAGCAATGAGGTTAAAGTCTTTTCATGCATCTTTTTGTGCATGCCTACAGTATTAGCAACAGTCAGTTGTTGCGTAACTGTTTTGTAGTGTCTGAAGGACTCAGCTGACTGCTTTTCGGCCTCTTTGTCATCCTTGGACTTTTTTTTTCTTGTTTTTGTTTCCTAGGCAACAGAATGGGCACCGGACGAGGAAACCAGGAGGTCCTGTCAGAGCAAAGGCAAAACAGAGGTAACCTCGATCCCGCTCCCAATTACAACACTTCATGTCAGCGCTGCCTGGCTTACAGAGAGGCCATCTTGATATCTTCTGGCTGTTGTGGCGAGGTCCTTATGGGCCTCATGGGAGGGCTCTGTACAGAACAGCTATTTCAGACCCTTCAATCAAGGGTTGTTTTTCTTGCAGTGGAGAGAGAGGGCAAAGGGAAGCGAAGGAGAATGTGCACAAGAGAGCCTAGGGCTAGATAGTGAGATACACAAAAAGACTTCCTTTCAAATATGGCTGATAACCAATGCTTACTTTGATTATTTGGGTTTGCAACGTGAGTTTTATTTCTCACTGTGCCTTTTAAAGTGAACGGGTGATACCAAATACACAAAGCAATCAATTCTCTTTGAAACCTGTGTCACTGCAATTACCTCATTTGTTCCCCACAAACAAGACGGCACCATTTACAAAAAAAAATGGTTGCATAAAATGTTTTATTGCCAGTAAATCTATTTCACACCTTTGTTAAAACTGATTTGACTTTTTTGTCACACATACTTGAGTTATTGTCGATTCTCTGTCGATGTCGCAAATGGGCTTCCATTCAGCTGCAAACGAGCATTCATATTTTTGAACAATGGACTCACGAGAGCAAAAGCTGCACGCTCTGAACTGCTCTGCCTTTTGGTCGCATGCCAGTCTGGTACCAGAAGACTTGGCCCATTGTTCTTCTCAGCGAAACGTCGAACAGTATTTAGCTAACCAGCTCAGACTGTAACCGCTGTAGCCGTTTGAAAGCTTTCCTCTTCACCCTCCTCTCTGCAGATTGAATGTCAGAACTACATCAGAGTCCTGCTGGTGAACAAGACTGAGGTCATGACCTGTGGAACCAATGCATTCCTGCCACTATGTATTACCCGAGAGGTACAAATGACTGTGTGTTAGTGTGTTAGTGTGATTTTTTTTTTTTTTGTACAAATTCAGAGAAAACACTGTAGACTTGGCTCTGTTACTTTCGCTTACTCCCTTTTCTCTCCCTCTCTTTCTCTCTCCCTCTGTCTTTTCATCCGTCGCAGGTGGGCAACATGAGCAGCGTGCTGGAGCGGGTGAACGGCGTGGCACGCTGCCCGTACGATCCTCGCCACAACTCCACAGCAGTGGTGACGGAGAGCGGAGAGCTGTACGCCGCCACCGTTATTGACTTCTCTGGCCGTGACCCCGTCATATACCGCAGCCTGGGGGGCATGCCGCCTCTCCGGACCGCCCAGTACAACTCAAAATGGCTCAACGGTACAGTAACACGGCAAAAACTACCACATATGAAGTTATTTGGCTCACGCTGAAAAGTTCATTTTTGTATCATAAATTTCGCTTTTTTTTTCTGCTTCATTACCAATTAATGATTGTTTTTTCAATTAACTGGCTAATCATTTGATTTATATTTAATGTCACAAATTTGTGAAGAACAGCATCACAAGTTCCCGGAGCTCAACGTGATGCTTTCAAACTGCTCGTTCTTTTCAACAATGATACTTCAATAATTAATTGCTTTGCTAAAATTGTTGATTAAACTTCATTGATTGATTCAAGTTCATTTGAGAGCATTTAAAGCACAACATTGTGCGAAATGAGCAAAATGAAATGGTCCGGCGTGAATTAGTTAAAGTTGCAATGTGTGTGTTCAAACTGTGTTTTCATATGAGACGTGAGAAATGTAGTCTAGCGGTATTAGTAATCTGATCGGGTCTAAACTCTTGTTGGATTATCAAATAATCCACACAAGGTTAAATCGCAGGGTAAAGACAAACTCTGGAAATTCCTCCTGTTACTTTAAACATTTTCCTGCCTGGAGCGACACTTCTGTTTCCAATACAATCGGCTCTGTTGTTCCAGCCATGATAGATCAACCCCGACGGGGGTGTTTTCAAAGGATTACAAAGACTGTTTGGATTTGAAGTTGTGTATGGAACACGCAGTACAGGTCAGGCATAGGAATTGGCGGGAATTATGGAATGGCGGAGAGCATGAAATGCTGTCAATCCTGCTGGTGTCAGTGTCAATAATCTCCCTGCTGCTGACGCCGTACCTTTCCCTCTGACCACGCTGCAGCACAAATCCATAGACACACATCCTGACTCCAGCAGAAATGTAGATGGACGTTCCACTGGAGGAGGCAGCCATTGAGTTCCTTTGATATGCAGAACATCTTAGATTATTGGATTCATTGAGGTATATATATATATAATACCGAAATGGGAGGAGTTATTTCAGGCATTTGGATGTAAAGGGCAGATTCATTTTCTGCACCATAGACGATGTTAAGTGACTACCTGGACGGACAGGAAACTCTCCTGGTTGAACTATCAATACTAAAGACGAACAACAAAGTCAGAGCTACAAGCCTAAGGACATAAAAACTGTGATTCCCAATGGAATAAGACCTCAAACCGTAACTGTTAAACATATTTTTGCTTTATTTCATCCATCCTTTGCTGAGTGGCCCAGGCTAATGCAACACATTGGCTACACTCTTTTCCTTTTCCCACTGGGCATTGGTATCTGCTCTAACACATGGCATGCATGAAGTACCACAGTTGGAGACAGAGAGGGAGAGAGAGAGAAAAAAAAAGAAGTTCTTAACAAATAACATTTGAAAATAATCAAAGTAAGCTCGGCCGCAGTCCAAAGCCAAACAATACTGAAAAATAATGATATAAAACGGAGGAAAACAGCACATTCTTCACATCTGAGAAGCTAGAACCAGTGAATGCTTGACATTTTCTGCTTGATAAAAGACTTAATCGATTAATGCATCACCAGAGTGGTTGATTAATTTTCTCTTGTGTGAGTAATGCACAATCATCAGCGCTAAATGTAACAAACAAATATCTACATATTTTCAAGTGCAGCTGTATTTTGATGAGAAGCGGGTCGTGAAAAAGCTGGACTTTAGAGAGTCGGCCAGAAGAAAGGAGAGACGGGAGGGGAGGGGAAATGAGAAAGGCAAGAACGAAAGCGAGTGAAGTCGGAAGGTGGGAGAGTGTGACGGTGTGCGTCTGCGTGTGTGCGGTGTGCGAGAGAGGAAGGGGGTGAGAGTTGTGGGGCAGGGAAGAGGATGAGGATGAGAGGGAGGCAGAGAAGATAGACTGAAGAGTCAGTGAGCGACGTAATTATTCCTCACGGCAAGGAGAGGGTGAAATTACAGCACACAGCACGCTTCACACCAGGCAGGGTCTCGCCGCCCGTGTGTGCATGTGAGTGTGTGTTTGTGTATATAGATTTTATGCATGCTGTACGTGCATCCATGTGTGTCCAGTGTGTGTGTGTGTGAGAGAGTATGTGGGAGGGAAAAAAGATGAGTAGCTAAGTAGATCATGTCCTCATCAGCATAATCACAGCTGGCCGCGCACACAGTCAAGCACACATGTTGCACTCAAATCTTTCCACACACACACACACACACACACACACACACACACACACACACACACACACACACACACACACACGTGCCATCACAGACAAAGGCTGCTTTCCTTCATGGTTGATTCTGTGAGGGTTATGGAGTTGTGCTCCCGGTGGATTTTTTGGGGGTGTGAATGAAAATCTCATTTCCAGCTCTAAGCCTCTCCAGCTCCAGAGAACCAAAGGCAAGGAGGGGGGTCCTGGATCTAATCAATCTGTTCCCTTATTGGATTGGTAGCCTGCCAGGTGCTGACCAACTGTTTCCCATCATGCACCTGAATGACATGAATCTCAATTCAGATTTGTGTTGTTTGCTCTCACCCTTCTCTCAGCTTTTGTGAAAAATGTATTTTGGTGCATACAGTCACAGAAATGAAACAAAAGCCAGAGATTTCTCAGTCCCTGTATATAAGCACATACAAACATGTGACATTAAAATTCAAATTCACGTTCTTATGAATAGAATTTTTATTAGTATAATACTCAGTATTTCTTTTTGCTACGATACCTGCATGTTTTCATTGTCTAGTTTTGGCGAGTCTTGGTTAAAGCAAGAGGTGAACAAAGAAAACAGTTTGGTTTCTTTCTTCTTCTTCTTTTTTTTTTTTTACATCAAACTAAGAGGTCTTTGTTGTTAAGTTGTTGAGTTGTTAAGTTTTGTAAGTCATTGCCTGTCGACTGTTTCTCCAGCCAGCAGAAACAGCTGTTAAAGATCTCAACACCACAGCTATTTGAATAGCTGAACAAATTGGAGATGTTTGACTTGTGTGCAGTGTACGGATGCCAACCTTTGTGAACTGGGAAATAAAAGTTGCCAGTGAACATGATCCTGGCAGAAGTTCCCTCCTAAAAGTATTTGGCGAAACAAATTAGTAGTGGATTTTAGTAGTAGAATTATTTGTCTTCACTCTGACCAGACACATAACTAACCTAACACAATACAGATGTCATAACCAAGTGCAGCAAATATGGAGAGTAAAAAAATCCATTCAGACCAAATCTAATCAAACTGTCAGGTATTACTCCTCCCCTAATGAGTCATCCGCCACTCTTTTATGTGAATATTAAAGTGGCAATAGAAACCTTTTCAACATTTCCCCCCTTGTGTTTCCATGTGGCGTTACTGTTGGCGCCGCAGTCACAAATATATAATATACAACATATAGTGAAGTTTCATCACTGCTCGTTTTAGGAAGGCCACAGCCAAAAAAAAACATGTTCTTTGTTTAGATTACCGACTCTAAATTTCCCGTAGGTGCGAGTGATTGTTTGTCTCTATATGTCAGCCCTGTGATAGACTGGCGACCTGTCCAGGGTGTAACCCCGCCCTTGCCAAATGTCAGCTGGTATTGGCTTCAGGCCAAAACACCTGGTTGTATTAATAAGAAGACAGGTTTTGTTACTTACTGATCTAGTAGAAATACTGCCAGCTGAATGTGGGTTTGGAGCTCTCTTCATAGTCGGAGCGGCCATTGGGATGAATCCTGGTGGGCCGGTGGACTGTCTATTACTCTCCGTCTTCACCTTCTTTGCCTCCTCTGTCAGTGGGGCTCGTTTTCTGTCGCTGGGTAGAGTAGCATTTCTGCTACCTGGGGAACGCTACTGATAGCTGCGGACGCACTTTATGCCGTAAATCGAGCCTTAATTCTTCCGTGAACTTTAGGTGCCCAGCGGGAGACAGAATTGCGTAATGAAAGCGAGGCTCACAGGAAAACCAATCCAAACGCCAGTGGCGTCATTATTCTGTAGCCATTACATTGTGCAATCGACATTTACTTCATAATGATAAGTTGAAGCAAAAAACTCTATTTCCACTTTAAATAGCCTCACTCTTTATGCTGTGTCTGATCTAAAGCATCATGTGATGTTAGTGATGGAGGCTTCACTCCTCCAGCACCCAACCAGCCTGCCAGATTGAACAGTCTGTTTACCACTCTGCGGGGTGCTGGAAAAACTCTGCTCATCACATTTGCACCCACACAGCTTCACTAATATCGTGCAGAAACTGTCGGCTCCGCCTGCCCTTTGGCTGACACACGTACAGTGTATGCACAAACACAGGTATGTAAACACAGAAATACTCTTGTGTGCATATGCATAGCAGCTCAGGCATGCTGTAAACACGCACACACACACACACACACACACACACATTCTTTCCATTTAATAGCTGAGACGTACATGAGCACAATTGGCTACTTTACATGGCCTTTATCTGCAGGGGGAGTAGCGCTCATGCATTGTGACTGCGGCTTGTCCATCTGCATGTTCATCAGGAGCAATTAACTGATCGGGATGTGCTGTACATTACATTGATCAGTGAGACAGGTTGCTTTTTCTTTCATCACTTATAAACATTAAATGATTTCCTTCCCGTGGGTGACATGATGCATAATGGTAGTAATGATAATGATGAACCTGCTGGGGTTGTTCTATAATGACATTTTTGCTTGTTAAGCCTTTGATCTTAAATGAAAAACTGATAACGATCTCCACTTCATCAGATGTAAAGTGTAGAAGTTGTTTAGATCGCACTGCTGCTCTCAACCTGCTCGCTCCATACTCTCGCAGAATAACCACCATCATTCCGGACTGGCCGCCCATTTAATATAAATTGATTAGTTTCAAAAAGTTTGAATCGCTCCCTCAGCTGATTCTCTTCGTTGAAATTGCTTTTTTACGCCTTCATCTGTGGTCGGTCCAGACCAGTGGTTGTTGTTGTCGGATTGGAATTAAAGAGCTGTTTTGTCCATGTTGGTCTCTTCCTGCTCTGCTTCAAAATCTTATTCTCTTATAAAAAAGCCTCACTAGCCCCTCAGGCACATCCCATCACGGCTGTTAACAGGTCATCTCCGCTGTGTGTGTGTGTGTGTGTGTGTGTGCTGTCTACCGTGTGTGTGTGCTTGGTGTGGTGGTGTTGTGCTGTGTGTTGTGTGTGTGTGTGTGTGTGCGTGTGTGTGTGTGTGTGTGTGTGTGTGTGTGTGAGAGAGTGTATTTCTGTGTGACTTTCTTTACAACATCAGCATCCCTCTTGTGTTTTGTTTATGGGTGTGCATGCATCTTAAGGCTTATTCCTCCATTTGAGCTCGTGTGTGTGTGTGTGTGAGCGTGTGTGTGTGTGAGCGCGTGTGTGTGTGTGTGCGTGTGTGCGCGTGTGTGTGAGCGTGTGAGCATGTGTGTGTGTGAGCGTGTGTGTGTGTGTGTGTGTGCGTGTGTGAGCATGTGAGCATTGTGAGCGTGTGAGCAGTGTGTGTGTGTGAGCGTGTGTGTGTGTGTGTGTGTGCGTGTGTGAGCATGTGAGCATGTGTGTGAGCGTGTGTGTGTGTGTGAGCATGTGAGCATGTGTGTGAGCGTGTGTGTGTGTGTGTGAGTGTGAGCATGTGTCTGAGAGTGTGATATCACTTACAATAAATGGGTCCCAGGGGGAAACTGAAGTGAAGACAGCAGAGTAGCATTTTTTGTGTTTCTTCATCACAGTACTCGCCTCATGGAGGAAAACACAGCAGTAGAAAACAGAACACGAGTGTGATGAAGCCTCAGTCAGCTCAGTGTCAAAACAGCAACAACAGTGCATGTTTCTTTTTTTAGACAGTTCAGCTTGAAACTATGACTTCAAATCATAAATGTTACAAGAAAGAAGTTACTGTTACGAAAAATACGTGGGATTGAATAAATCTAGTGTCAATTACTGACCTTTTGTTCTATGTTTTATTGTTTATTCTATTATATTTGTTAAATTGGTGTTTCTCAAGGACTTTTCAACAAACACTAGCACTCCGATATCTGGACCGCCTTCTTCTGCGCATGTCCAGGATGTCAACTTTTCATGAACGGCTAAAAACTGTTTTGTTTGGAAAAAAGTATTTTTAAAAAAAAACAAAACATTTTGACATCTGTGGTTTTTCCTGGACAGCGATGCTGCATCGTCAGCTGTTTCCCGGTATTAAAGGGTTAGTTCACCCAAATGACCTAAACCCTGGTTAGGTTCTATGACATTGATTATTCACAGGGAACCGTTTGTTTGCCAGGAAGCAGTTTATTGAAAACCATTCACAGAGATTATCAGGAGTAAGCAGGACACGTTCTCAGATGCTGAGCACCGAAAACAAGATTGTGTTGAGGCATCTGAGGAATGTCTGCACATAAAACCATAACCTAAAAACTATCTGCACAATTAGATACTTTAAAAGGTATGAGGGAAAATGTTGTATGAGGAGTTTGGGTGAACTAATCCTTTAAGCCGTTTTAAAGACTTTTATGTGAAACCTCCAAAAATGTTATGGATTTAAGACTAATATGGATGTAGAGGTTCAAGCTCCTTTTCCCTCCACGCTCACAGCAGTGAATTAGTATTCTGTGATGAGTCGTGTTTACAAAGGATGACAGTAACGTCCCATTCAAATCGTTATTCAGTCTGCTTTACCTGATAACCCACCAAGCAGGAAGGGCCATGAATCATTCGCCGCGTCACCCAGGGCAATAAAGGCAGCACGGGCATCCAGTTAAACAGACATAGCTCCATGGATTTACCATCAAAACATCAGACAGATTTATTAGTAACCATTTTTTATCTTCTCCTCTCCTCCTCCCACTGCACCTTCTCTCATTTACACATTTGACATTGAGGCTCTTTTCCAGACCATCTTAAACAGGAGTGGAACAGCAGAAGTTTTTATTGCAATCAATAATAAGGAGTACTGGGGTCAAAGCAACACCATCTAGTAGATAAATGTTGGAAATATTTCTTTATCCCTGGAGCATCATGTAATGACCTCCACCCCCCCCCCCCCCCTTCTTCTCCTTCTTCCCCCCGGCAGAGCCCCACTTCATCTCAGCGTACGACATCGGTCTCTTCACCTTCTTCTTCCTGAGGGAGAACGCGGTGGAGCACGACTGTGGCAAGACGGTCTATTCCCGCGTAGCGCGAGTCTGCAAGAACGACATCGGCGGCCGTTTCCTCCTGGAGGACACCTGGACCACGTTCATGAAGGCGAGGCTCAACTGCTCCCGCTCCGGGGAGATCCCCTTCTACTACAACGAGCTGCAGAGCACCTTCTACCTGCCGGAGCAAGACCTCATCTACGGCATCTTCACGACCAATGTGTGAGTGAATGCAAATGGACGGTTATTCCTGTTTACACATATATGCATTAACCCATAACGCTTCTAATGTAGAGCAACGAATTATGGCGTCTCATCAACATTTAAATATAATCGTTTTAGTCATCAAATGCATTTTTTTTTAATCAATTAAATAACTTATTACGCATCAAATGACTTTTTATATTAACTTGCGGCTAAATAACAAAATAGTTGTCATATTCTTTAACTCATCAATCATTTACACAAAAAACATTTTTTCCTTAATTGTCCCACTCTTCTCCCAGGCCACCATACATTCTCCCTATAGAAGGAAGTGAGATTCAAACACAGAACTGGAGATAGTTGATCAAAAATGGTGTTTATTCCAGTTTTAGGTATGTTAGATTCTTCGTAAAAGAAAGTTATCGCAGAGCTGGAACAAACAGCGCTCTACGTTATTATTAGTGCTGATCTAGTGCAGAGGAACATATATTGCATACAGGCGTTGTGACATGTTGTTTTTCTGTGTGCACGGGAGTGTTGGCATTACATTTATTGTACCATCAGGGCTCCACCTCCGTGTCTGATTCGGTTGTTGAACCACCTGTGTCTTTATTTGCAGATTTTGCACTCCACTCTTTATTCACATTTATTCTGAGAACATTTATTCACACAGCTGCCGTTTTATCGTGAAAAGCAAATGGAAGAAACAGTTGTAGCTGAAAAGGTGCTCCACTTTATCTTGTCGTAATAACAGCATTTCAAGGTCAGACTTAAGGATTTAGTGTGGTGTTCATGTTAATGAGGTTTCGAGTGGCTGTGTCTGTGTTCCAGTGCATATTATCTCCTTAGTCTTTAGTTCATGATCGCATGAGCACACACGCTAAAACTCCTGGGTTCTAGTAAATGTTTTTTTTTTTTCTGGGGAAAAAATTTTGATAAGAATTCCTGGTAATAACAGAATCTCATTTCCTGGTATTCAACCCCAGCACAAATACCCCCCCCACTGTTTATTATTGTATCTGGAAAGGAACATATGCACTCTGAAATGATTTTTCAGCACATTGTTCATTACTCAAAAGTGATATACTCCATCTTTTATTACCTATTCCTCATTTCAAACACTTTACTGTTACCTTCATTATGACTCCTTTGGGAGCAGACAAAATTTGCAGCACTTTCTTAAAAGGCTCAGCTCAGATGATTCATCTCAATAAACATGAATAGAAGTGGTAACCCGATACACCGTCTATTATTGCTATCATTTTAATTGAATAAAATATAGTAGAGGGAATACTTCTAGCAGGAAAACAGTTTTGAAACTGACATTTATTATCTAAATCACCTCAGTTCCTGTCTATGGATGATGAAAACAAATGCAGGGATCAGGTTGGGTGGACTTTAAGATCATTTCATCCTGAGTCGGCTGTTTAGCCTCTTGTCATACAAGCTTCAGCCAAATAGTACAAATAGAGAACAGACTGGCACCTAAGCATCTATGTAGATATGAAAAAAGTGAAATTCTATGTAATGTAATACTTATCCCTGTGTTGCTCCTGAACGTTGCGCTGAACAGAAAAGATAAACAACACCACCAAAACAAGCTGCAGCTGTGCTGTAGAGCCCTTTCAATGGCAACAAGAATATTAATGGGGGGGGGGGGGGGGGGGAAGGTGATATACCCACCAAAACACTTCAACTCCAGCATCTTTTCATTTAGTCCTCAGATATCATCACTTTATAAGCTTTGTTACTGTGACATTTTCCCTCCTATTCAGAGCGAGACAATTTTCCAGAGTTTAGAGCCTTCCTGCTGCTGCTAATGATCAGTGCGGATGCATGCGGCTCTCAGCTGAGCTGGATACACAGACTGACTCGCACTCCCTCTGGTGTTTGATTGCTCCAGGTGGGGGTGTCGCACACTTCATTACAGAGAGGAAACACTGAGAGTCAAAGTGTGGAGATTAGAGTTCGTGTTTTGCTTTTTATGGTTAGCAAAAGTGTAATTGCATCATGTTTTTGCCTGACTAGAGGATGGCGGTGTCTGTCGTTCTAACACTGTAGTCCACCACAAGAGATTAGTGAAGATATCACAATTAATAACTACTGGCTATAAATATTCATGGTTCTCAGAGGATGACTCCTCCTGACCTTTTTATCTAAAGTCACCAGCAGGTCAAACTTTCCCCTCAGCCCACTCTTCAGCCTGAGACAAAGCATCATAAAAAAAAAAAAATCCCCTGCAACAAATGCTGAGAGAATTCATCCATTTGGTTTTGATCCCGCCGTGACAAGCTACAGTTTCCTCTTGTAAAATCTAGTTCTCAGTGAGTGTGAGGAGTGTGAGGAGTGTGAGTGCACGTTCATGCGCCTCAGAGGACGAACATTGTTCATTACAGACATTGTGGACACATCATTCATTATGGACACTCTGAGTTTTCTGTTACGCACTTCCCTCAGAACAAAATATGTACATATTTTTAAACCCATGGTCTTTCCCTAAGTGCCACCATTACGAGAGCCTTTTTCATTTGAGCTGCGCTACTGCTGAGGCTCTGAGAATAGCAGCCTCTAGGATCCTCCAACAGAGCACTGGAGTAAGAAACACAGTAAGAAAACCTAAAGGAATAGTTTTGGGAAACGTGCCTATTTGATTTTTTTCCAAGAGTTAGATGAGAAGCTCGATAGAGGGGACTCCGCCACACATTGATTTGACTGAATCTGAGGCACAACTGACGGATTAAATTCCCTTCTTCACACCCTTCATATCAGAATGCACGCACGTCGCACATTGGAAGATGTCTGGAGATTCACGTGCCTGTTCACATATGATGCATGTTTTCTCTCTATTTGTCCAAAGAAATACAAATACAATAATACCTAATCCTAAAGCATAACGCACAATTTAATCGAACCAGAAATTACTTTACACTCTCTTTATTTCATTGTGGTTTCTTACTGAATAAAAAAAACATGTAGATAAAACTCTCAGGTAGTGGCCAAACACCAGATTTCATGTGCGAAATGCTGTAACTGTACCGTGTGTGTGCGTGTGTGCGTGCGTGTGTGTGTGTGTGTGTGTGTGTGTGTGTGTGTGTGTGTGTGTGTCAGCCAGCAGGATGGTTGGTGTTCAGATGTGTCCTGTTCTGTCAGGGGAGAAGCTGAATCCCGCCTCTCACCTTCTGCGCTCTCACCTGTTACGCTGCTGGTATTCGCCACCACATGGCTGCACTCCCGTCAGCCTGCAGTCGTCTTCCGTGACAGATAAAGAGGGCGGGAAACGGTAGAGAGACAAAAAGAAAAGAAAGAAAACCAGAGGAATAAAGACAGAGAGAGAGAGATGGAGAGTAGAAGGAAATTAGTAGACGTAATGAGAAAAATCAGTGAGCTCCAAGCTTTTGTTCATTGTCCTTTTGTCTCCTCCTGCCTTGCCCTTCCTTTCTGAAGCGACTCGTTGATCCTGCCTCCAAAACCGCCTCCCTCGTCGGGGGTTGGATATGTTAATGTAATCACCACAAACACTGCCTCTGTCTGTCTGGCCTAAATTGAACAGGATCACAGCTGCTCCCAGGAGTTTGGGGCTGTAAAACAAAACAGGAAGAGTTGGAACAGAGTGCTTATCCCCTCTGTCTGCACACGATGTGGGCCAGGTCTCAATACTGTGGAGTGACCTCCCTCCTCTGTGACTGTCTTTGATGTTCTGTAAATGACTGAGGTCTTGAGTTTTACACACTGATTGTCTTCAGATTGTTGAAGTGTTTTCAACCCTTAACTCACAGGAAGGAAACTACAATTTTTATAATATAATTGATCATTTAATCATTTTCTCAGATGAGGGTATCTGCTGCTTTTGGTTCTGTGTAATTGTAAATGAAAGATTTTGTGTCTGATCTGACAAAACCCGACCCCAAAGCATCCTGAAGACGTCATCTCGTGCTCTGAAATGATTTTGGAGGTACTCCAGAGATTTAGTATTGCACTTCACTTTTTTAAATGTGTCAAAAATGTAACAGAAGCTGAGAAAACTTGACTTTTAGCTCCTTGTAAGATCCAAAAATCCTGGCGCCTACACTTCCCATAACGCGAATCAATAGCATCTCTTAGTTATTATTATACGATGTCTACACAGCCCCAGTGGCAAAACCAGCCACAGCAGTAGGAGCTTTGGTCCTCTGCCCATGTCTACACATGATGCATTCAGGCGCAGTATTTAGTGCAGGTAATCCGCATTTCAGGGCTCAATACAAAATCACTGTGGTTACGTGTGGAAAAGGAAGAAAATACACTTCAAGTGTAAATAGAGGCTTCCAGTGGAGTGAAACACCAGTCATTGTGCAGCCTGCGTAGACAGCTCCACCGATTAAAATAGGAGCTTATGTTCAGACCATTCAAATATCTGTTTCTGAGCATCATGTCCATAAGAGAGGAAACCAAGACAACAAAAGACATAACTACAGAATAAGCCCCTATAAACATGAGTTACATAGGAGTCATTAGGGTGCATGTTTTGGAGATGTGCCCCCAGGTAGTGGTGAGCTAACTGTAGCTTACATAACTCGCTTTAGCCTTAGGTTCCACAATTTTGCAGTTTACTGACCAAAATCCAAAGTTGCTCGGAGCGCAAATCATTCTCTCCGCGGCCGAGTTGCTGCGTTTCCACACATGTAGTTGTTGAATTATTTGTTCATTCGGGCTTGACCTACATTTCATTTTCAATCAATGGAAGTGACTTTGTGTGACTCAGCAGTGCTCCTTTTTTTTCTCAGCAATCGACTATTTTTCACAATTGAATGTCTGCTTTCTGTTTTTTTTTTTTTTTTTTTACAATTTCATTATATAATGGAATTTAGAATATTTGTTGACAGCGTACTTCAGACCCGCTTCTGCCTCATTAACACTCATGCTTTTGAAAGTCCAAACTCTGATGCAAGATTTTTCTGTTTAAAAATTTCTCATTTCCGAGTGGAAGCCCAAATAACCCTCATGAAATCACTGGGTTTATTTTTTTTCAGGCTTTAGGG